GCAACAAGGTTGCAATGCAGCAGGGCAAAAAAATCAAGCGTTTCAGCGTGCTGGGCGTTTCAGGTCCATAAACTAAAAATCCAGATCAAGATTTTGTTTCTACCAGCCAGTTGAGCATAAAGAGTCACAGTCATAGAGTACTTAACTAGTTGGCTGAAACAAAATTGTGGTCTGGACTTTTACTTTCTGGACCTGAAATGCCCAGCACTGGAATTAGAATGGTTAAGGCAGGGGTGGCCAATCTTATCCGCAAAGGGTCGGTGTGTATGCGGGTTTTCGCTGCAGCTTTTTTGCACCGCAACTCCCTAATTATATTACTAATCAGAGGACTGATTGGCTGAAGAGTCCTCACACCTGGGTTTGAACAGCTGACCTACAGGTTATCCCAAAAACCTGCAAGTACACCGGCCCTCTGCGGATAAGACTGGCCACCGCTGGGTTAAGGATTAGCTGTACTCCCTGGGTCTCCTGATCGAGACACTGAGCCAGGGGACACTTCTGCTATTGTCACGCTGGATTGGGAGGAGGGGGGGGGCGGTTTGCAGCACACTGCGTCCACAGCGCTGCAGCACTGCCTGGCGAGCCTTGCTCACATCTCTTCCTGGCTTCTCATCATAGGTTTTCTTCACTCAAAACACAAGAATTCCCTTTGGGCTTTTCTGCTGCTTCCGGTCATCGCAGCCGCTGTGGGCATCTACTACTGGAGATCCAAGGTCAGCAAGAGTCACTCGCATCCAGGCAAGTATCCGGGTCTTATTGCGGGCATCTTGCTCCTTTACTATGACTTTTATTATAGATATAAAAATACTAGATTGTTATTTTTTTTCACAGCCTAAGAAAAAATGTCACCTAGCAATAAATCCCATCACCTGATAGACTTTGTACTGTTTTCAGGAGATACAACTGACAACGGGATGGAAAAGTGAGTGTAACCTGTGTGCAGGAATGTAGCCGCATAGTAAATTAATAGGTTTCACCCCCCCCCCCCCGACCAGAGGTGACAGAGTAAAGACCTGTTTGCTCCAGACCAGGCACATAGCCAGGTAGTAAAACTATGAGGTTGATCCCACCCCACTAAGGGGGACCAAACAGCAGGGTTATCAAACTATCTCACCCCCTCCCCCCCCACCGCAGGCCTGCCTGTTTGTGTTCTGTCTTGGGTGTTGGTCCCCGGGGTGTGGGTCAGTTTCCACTTAACACACTGCCCTGACATCTGCATGTTGTGTTAGTCCGTGCCTGAGCTCTCCACGTTGTCTGAACATCCAAAGATCCCTGCATATCCTCGTCATTCTTACCCAAAATCTATACATCAGACGCAGGCCCTAAAATTCTGACCTCACTGTAATGATAATGATGCTGTTCTGATGGATCCGTGGTACCACATGCAGGACTGTGACTGTGCAATGCCAGTCAGTGTTAATGGTAAGAGGGGGCAGGTCAGGCTGGCCAGCCTCTCAGGCCCGTTCTCACGCGATTGTGTCTCCTGGGACTGCAGCGCCTCTTTCCAGAGCAGACCGGAGAGCCTCAAAGATGGTGTAATGTTGCTGGGAGTGAAGACCTCGGGGACGGACGACAGCGGTAAGTTCCTACAGCTACTCCAAGGCACCCCGACCGTCTCATGGTTTTTCTCCCATTTAGAGAAGAAAAAAAAAAAAAACAGTCATGATGAATATCATTTTGGAATCTTACGTATTTGGCTGCTATGCTACCTCTGTCCACAGAATGTAGCCAGACATTTACAGACACATTTATATATGGAAATGAGAGGTTCCAGAACGCAGCATCTTAGAGGCACGTAGTCTGTCCTCGTATATAGAGTTTGTTTCTGGAAACAAAGTATCACAGCATCAAAGACAATAGTGGCAGATGAGTATAAAAGATAAGGACCACGATATTCTATAAAGGAGCAGCCTTTTCACTCACTGTACTCCTTCCTGAGATGTTTGTTTTCCTGGCCGCTACAATTCAGTCCCTCAGGAACTTACTTCCAGGAACTTAGAGGAAGTTTCAGGCTTTTAATATCTCATTGTGCCGAGAGCGTAATGGCCCACACTATTGGGCTGCACAGAAGGTGTTTCCTGCGATTTGACTTCCCCCGGCCCTGGAGGACTAGCGGGGAGACGAAAGATAGAGACTTCCTCAGTCAGGCTGAGACTGTTTTGGCCAGGGCTCCATTGTGAGTTTGGAAATGTCAGTCACTCCTGCGCGGCTCGGAACAAAGGAGACCCATTGGTGGCCATGGCGACGGATTAATGCGTGAAGATGCCTTCGTCATGAGCTCTTCCTCCCTGGCCCAGTAATGGGTGCAGGAATGGGGAGGTCAGCATTTAAGATTCTGAGACAGCGATAAGCCTTACAATCAAGCAGCAATGCATTACAGCCCCTTGTGGCAATAGATCTGGTATCTTGTACCTTTTAGCACATGCATATTGTTCAGCGTTCACTATATAAATAAACTTTACATACTTACTTGTAACTTCATGTTAGTCGCCTTGTTTTCTCGGCTTCTGCAGAAACAATTCTTTTGCCAGTGATAAAGGCCAAGTTGACCTTAGACAACGTGCCACGGTCGTGAGACGTCATGGGATATAATTTTTACATGCAACTTTAGAGTTAGCAAGTAGGAAATGAATTTTTAAAAATTTATATGAAGCTTTTTCGTTTTTTCTACTTCGGAGTATTGAGATGTCTAGAAAACATTTTTACTAAAGACGTTATAAACACTAAAATTATTTTGCAGTCTCAAGATAACTTTCACTTCTATATCTGTATTCGTTTTGGTGACATATGAGCATAAGAACTGCGAGGGTCTCCTGATTCTTAAAACCTTCAAAATCCTGTCATTTAGCATGTGTAACGCTGCCCTCTAGAGGTCAAACTTGACAAATAACATATACGCTTTAGAAATATTGGTTGAAACTGGCTATAGATTTACATACATTTTAAACTGTCTTCGGTAAAATGCACAGTTCACATAAGATACAGATCTTAATTCCATAATTTTAATCTATGTTTTTCAGCGGCTGGAAGAGGCTGAGAATCTCATTCAAAGCGCTGGATAATCATGGAGCCAGAGCCCTTTCGACTGAGAAAAACAAATCCCAGATCGCGATATTTATGAATTTGACGCACGTCTACAGTCGATAATGGGAAATCAAATTACGTCACATTCTGGCATCCAGGGTGTTCCTTGACTTGTGCTTCATAAACGATGCTACAGGGACCCTACAACGCAGTCCTGGGTGGGCGGCTACATGACATGATGGATGGATGGGCAGATAAATGGATAGATGGGTGGTGTCAAGTTATATTGTATACTTAAGTAAACATAGTTTGTCTCAAAGGAGACCTGTTCTTTCTATATATATATATAGTGAGTAAATAATTATAGAAATAACAGGTATCC